GAGCATCACAGGAGCTATTACAGCTCAGCAGCTGATACTGACGGCGCTCAGATCCGTGATGTGATTTCACAGCACTCTGCGGGCTCACCGTGCACACCCTGATCAGGTTAGCTGTGCCTTGGCTTTTTTTTTCTCACCCCACTGAAATGAAACAACGAGAATGGCAAGAAAAACCGATCTAATCTTGTGATCTAGGTTTGTGTCACACTTGTCAAATGAGCAGCAGAGCAGCTGGTGCTGCTGTGTCACCTCTGCAAACAGGGTCCTCCTGGGATGGATGCTCACCCCTGCACTGAACATTGGACTCATCCTGCACCCCACACATGCTGCTGGTTGGGAAGCCCCCGTAGGGACACTGCTCAAGGAGAATTTTATTTCCTGCATTGTGCCCATCGCTCAGAGCACATCAGGGGTGCTGCTGCTATGCAAAGGGGCAGCAGGGATGCTCTGCAGTGGCCCCTCATGAAGTAATGCATGATGTTGCACTGGTGCGACCTGCACCTTTTAAACAGCTTGGCTCTTCTGCTGGTGCCGGTTCTGCCAGAGGCTAGGCAGGACGGGCCCATCAATGGGGCACTGGGGCAGGTACAGTGGGGTGGATGCTGGCTCCTTTCTGCAGCTCCTTTCCTTAAAATCATCTCATCATTTGCATTGCTTTTATTCTTACAACAAACACTGTGATAGACACTAAGTACCAGAAATGAGGTGAAGTATCCCAGACCCGTGTGTGTGTATAGCCACAGCTTGTGCAGCTGGGGACAGAGAAAGCAAAACCGTGGAAACTTTCTGCACGTCTCTTTCAAATACCACAGGCAAGCAGAAGTAGTAACGTGCCTTAAGTCAGAACCAGGTTTAAAGAACCTCCATTATATAGCTATCTATCTTTGTGCTATTTTTCATCAGCTAGATTCATTCTTCATATCAGATAGGGTGATAAGAGCATAAAGGTGCCTCTTACTCAGCTCTAATTTTAATTAATATGGTCATCAAATTGGATCTGAAGAATTAGGAAACCTCAGCAAAAATTCCGAAGGGATATAAACCAGGACAATTTATTGTTTGTGGGTCTGTGCTCTGCTCTAGTCACAGGCAGTCATGGTGACTTAGTTTTTGATAGATGTCTGGAAATACCTGCAGCGATCTCTTTACAAAGCTTAATGACCTTGGGTCATTTAGTTTTTGAAATATTTCAGCTACCAGGGAATAAAAATGGCACGACTGTCACAGTTACACTGCAGAAGGTCACATGGCTAAAGGTCTGAATTCCCTCAAAGCTACCACCATGCAGCAGACAATGCACCCAGCTTGTTTAACTGCTGCACGCCTTGTCCAGATGGGTAACTGAGGGAATACCAGGGAGGATGTTGTGTTTCATGGTACTGGCCCTCGGCTGTGGGGTATCAGCTTGCCCTGAGGGGACAGGAGTCGACCACAAACCATTTCCTCAGGTCTGAACTCACTGGTTATTGCAACAGAGCAGGAATTTTATGGCTCCCAAGGACAGGGTTAAATACACAGGGACAGCGGGAGAGGGGAAGCTCACGTCGCCCCACAGCCAGGACCATTCACTTCCCAAGGCTCCTGCACACTGTCCCCACCTCCTCCCTGCAGCACCAGGGCCATTGCCCAGCTCTGTGCCCCACGTCGTTGTGTCCTGCCCCAAGCTCCTGCTCAGGATGCTGCTCACAGCCCAGCTGACCTTCCTGGGACCTTCTGTTGGAGTCAGAAGGTGATTTTTCTCCACCTCTCCTTCTCCTTTAGCAATATCCTTGTCTTGCTGGTTCTTACAGGATGCAGCTGGAAAACCAGGTATACAAACCTGGTAGGGAAGTAGGAGAAAAGTTGTGGGTGCTGCAGACAGCCCTGTCTGTCCTCGGCAGGCTCAGGAGTCTGCAGACGTCCTGGGATGGAGCAGATGCAAGCAAAGAGCAGAGGGCTGGATGACAGCCATATCCTTTCCATGTGCCAGCTTGGCAGTGGCAGGAGCGAAGTGTGGGTTTGAGGCTGCTCGCATTTCCTCCTGGATGTGACTTCTCAAAGTTCCTGCCATGTGGCTTGGCACAGAGAGCTGGGATGAGACGGGAGAAGCGAGGGCCTGGCAGAGCCAGCAGGAACAGGCTGGGCTGGGTGGTGCTGCACGGCTGAGCCTGCAGGAGGTACAGGGGCTGGTGCTGATGGTCCTGGGGAGCAGATTCGGTGTGTTCAGTGGGGACATACTGGTGAGCCAGGGCCGGTGCTGTGCTCCTTGCTCACCTGAGCATGTGTGTCTTCAACAGCTCCCTCCTATTACTTAAAAAATTGACTTTGCCATAAATGACAGCAGATTCTGAGCTGGTGTCACCAAACAGCCTCTGAGGGACAGAAAGAGTCTTCATTAAGCTCATCTCTGGAGTCCTCTGGCTGGGTCTTGCACAACGTCCACAATGACCATTGCAGACAGACAATCTGGGGGCAGCCTTTGGATTCACCCATGAAAATCAATTAATCCTTACTCCATCTCAGCCTTTGTATCATGTATGGCATTCAAAAGGGGTATGAGGAGATAGTTTCAAGTCAGGCACTGAGGGAAGGAGAGAGGTTCTTACTGGCCAGGGGAAACGTCCTCAGAGAGCCCCTGTCCCTCATCCCTGCGGATCCACTCCGCTCTCCAGCCAGTCCCCCTCTGGATGGAGCTGGTGGGTGCTCCTCCCGAGGAGGGGGCTTGGTCTGCCCCCCTCCAACTGCAGCTTCTGCGCCGGGAAGCACTGACCGGGGCCGGGCAGGAGGAATCCTCTTCTAGGGAGCCCGGCGTGCCGGGAGGCAGCAGTGTGAGTGCTGAGCCGCAGGGACCAGGCAGGGGGATTTGTGCGGGAGCTGCTACAAAGAGCCAACAAGGGTTCAGAGTCTTTCAGATGAGTGTTTGCTAAATGCAAATGCATGTGTGAAATGCAGATAAGTGTGTGTTAAACCCATCCCAGCCCTCTCAGCAGTGTGGAGTGCCTGGAGCCTGTTTGCTTTGCTGCGGCTCCTTTATTTGCTAACAGTTGAGCTCTGCTAATCTCAGAGGAAGCTGTTGTGGGGACAGCCCCTCGAACCGAGGGCGACTGGGATAATGGGAAGCTCTCAGAGCTGCCAGGAAAGGGAAGACTGCAAAGTCTGATCCTTTTCTCTCTGTGGTGGTGGTTTGCTGGAGGAGGATCCCTCGTGGGCTTTGCACCGGCTGCTCTCCTGCTGCCCTTCCTGTTTGCGCTGCCTGCAAGACAATGCCTCAAACCCAGGGCAAAGCCCACCCAGTCCCGCTCCTCAGTGTGCTGGTGGCTCCATCCTGCTGCCACTGGTGAACGTGGCCCAAGAAGCAGGGTGTCCCTGTACGGTGACAGCCCAGCCAAACCCGGAGTGCTGCTGGGGGAGAAGGGGCTGCTGTTGCTCAGGGCCCAGCGATGGTACCCGGGGCATGGTGGCCACATCTGCCGCTGCCCTCACCCTGCCGCAGATCCTGCAAGCTCACAGATAATTCATGTCAGCAAGATGCCATGGTGCCATTGCTAATAGCTCAGCAAAGGGGGACACACTGGTCAGTTAGCAACTGCTTGATGTGACAGTGCCAGCAAAAGGCAGACCCAGCTGCCAGCCCCCCCTAATACCATTAAGATGAGAGATCTGCCAAGGCTGGGGTGGGAGGTGGTGGGACCATGGGAGGGGGGAAGGACCTGCAGGTAGAGCCTCTGCCCTGTGCTCCCTGGGGGTGGGCCAGGCGAGGGTGCGTGGGGCTCCCGGCATCACCCTGCATCCTGGTGTGGGAGTGTGGACTAGCCCAGAACTGCTGCAGTGACAGGCTGCCCTTTGCTGGGAGATCAGCTGGGTCCTCTGGAGAAACCCGTGTTATGAGTTTTGCAATATTGGGCACGTATTAAATTAGAAAGAGACTTCTGAGCAACGGAGAAGTTAATATCTGCATATGTGAAGGCCTCCAACTGCAGGCACAGCAATATTAGAGGATTTGTGAAGTTTAACGCTGTTCATTCATCCTGGGGCTGATGCCATAAATTGCAACACCACGATCTGCTTCGAAATAAAACCGCGCGGAGGATGTGGGTAGATCTGTTGTATCCCTCCCCAGGGGGATCTCCAGCCCCCTGAACTGCTGTTTGTTGCTGCAGCTCTGATCCTGGGATCCCTCCCCAGCGCAGTGTCTGGTAGCTCAGGGTACAGCGGGCCCCGGGAGGTGCCTGGTGTGCTTCCAGCAGCCCGTGCTGCTTCTACGTGTCAGCTCTCGGGGTGATGTGGCACCCCAGCCAAAGGGGGGAGTGCAGTGGGGCGGGGGGGGGGGGAAGGGGGGGAGCTGTGGGCACTGTGCTTAGTGCCAGCAGAATGGAACAGCAAACATCAGCTGTCGTGGGGAAGGCTGTGGGAGAGCTTGGGATGCCCGTGTGGGTGCAGAGAGCAGACAGATCAGGGCGAGGATGCACGTGCTTCATGTCTGGGTACAGGCACCCGCCTGTGGACACAGCCAGGCTGGGGCTGCCGGGGCTGCAGGGGAGGGACCGGTCCCCCCTTGTCTGCACTGAGCAGGCAGAGATTTCCCGTGCCCACGGGGAGCCTCAGAAGTGCCCAAAATGTACAATGGCCTGGAAAGCAGTTCCGTGTGTGTCCTGTGTGTGTGTGCCCGTGGGACCTGCTCTGTCCCTTGCAGAGTGTGCGCTCCCACGGCCACCGTGCTGCTTTGTGCCATTGTCTGAAGGATGTCGGTGCCAGTCCCTGGGGTTATTTTTGCTTTCCCATGGCAGGAGACGCTGCTTACAGGCAGTCTCCTTCAGGAAATTGGTGCTTTAATATTCAGTCTCATCCGATGAGGGTGAAATTTTATTCCTAGAATAACATTTAATTAAGTCTCGGGCTCTCAGTGATGCACCAGTGGTCTGCAGAGCTGCACTTACCTACATCAGCTCTTGTAAAACCAGCTGAACTGCAGCTAGAGTAAACTGTAAAATTTATGGGCTGTTCCCTCCCTTTTTAATTAGCACCGTACGTGTGTGACAAGAGGCCTCAGGCCAGGGGAAGGAGCAGTTTACTTGTTTACTGGTACCTGTCTTGCTCTGCAGCCTTGTCCAGCAGCATCCCCCCTAGATGGAGCTCTGCAAAAACATTTGAAGGCAGGAAAGCAGAAGCCTCCTGTTGCCCTGCAGCCCTGCACCGGTCATCAGAGCAGTGCTGGGTTTGGCCTCTGTGATGGGGTGGATGGAGCTGATGCCGTGGTCAGGAGGTGGGAGCGGGATGGGGCACCCAGGGCCCATGTGGGGTGGGTGCTGGTGCTGGATGCGGCACATGAGACTCTTCCTGGCATTGGGGGCTGTGCTGCAGGGATGATGGGATGATGGGTCAGAACAGCGGATGTTTGCTGCACACTGGTGTGGCCTGCCATTACTGCCTCTCCTGCCCTCACAGCTCTGCTGGCCCCTTGCCGTCCCCCTGGGCCCTGTGCAGACCGCTCAGCCTGGATCGTTAGTGAACGGATGGTTGATCACTAGATGGAAACTGAGCTTGGATGCAAAATCTGGCATTCCACAGGCTCCTGACCAGAGGGGACAGCTCTGCTTGTCAACTCTGACCTCCTGCCAAAGCTCTGCCAGAGCAGGGCAAGCAGCTGCCCAGGAGGATCTGCAGCAGGAAGAGGAGGAAGAGGAGTGGGTGGTCCTCTGAGTGCACCCTAGATATTCAAAAGCCCTATAGATGCAATGAGCAATGCGATGGGGATGTCCCACCTGATGATCCTTTTGCTATCAGCCAGCAGATCTTAGACTGTAAGTAGGAAAAAAGTGTAAATGATTGGAAAAAAAATCTGCCTGTGTCACTGCATGAAAGGGAGATGAAGAGAGATGAAGACAGCGTCAGCGCAGCTGATAAGGCAGGGGAAGAATGCAGGAGAGAAGCTGAGTAAAGCAAGAGGGATGGGGCCCCGGCGCCGAGGCAGCACATGTTCATGCAGCAGAGGAAAGTACACGTGGCAACTACGTGGTCATTGCTGGCTGCACAGGCAGACATTGCAGAAGGCTGGGCAGTTTTGCAGGCAGGTTGGCAGTGATGTGTACAGGGTGGAGGCTGAGGGCAGAGCTGGAAGCTGGGAGCGATGCTGTGGGAAAGGTGGCTGCCTGAGGAGTTTGCCAGGGCTCTCCAGTGCTGGACCCCCCTGGCAATGAGGAGCAGTGGGAGGACAGAGACCACTGCAGGGAAGTGCTCTGTGGTGCAGGAGGAGCAGCTCAGCTCTTCTGATGCCCAGCTTGGAGGGAAATCAAACCAGTTACTCCTTTGGGACATTTTGGGTCACCACTCTGGAGATGACCGGTGTGAATCTCTGGCAGGCAGAGCTGCATGGAGCTTCGCTGGTACCACTTGTGCCACTTAAGGACTGGCACAAGCAGCTTCTGCTTTCATGACTATTGTGCTGAGACTGGTGGAGATTTTCCTGCTGAGGAAGTGAGCACTGGAGTCCCAGGGAATGACTGGTACCTGATCTGGAGAGCTGGAAGAGGTGGGCGGCTGCTTCCCTGAGTGCAGCACAAGCAGTATCACACATAGTGCTGTGCTGCCTCAACACCACTAGATACTGGCCTGTATTTCCACCTTACCCTGGCTCTTGCCAGTGCTATTACTCCTTTGGTTTCATAAGCACTAAATTCACTCACAAATTTTATATATATATATAAAAAAGACATACTGTCATAAAATCAGCTAGCTGAGCATTCCCCAATGAAAATGAAATGCTGCTGCTCCTCAGAAGAAGTGCTGGTTCTGGATCATTTGTCTATTCAATATTTGGCAAAGTCTGACTGCAGCCCTGGTGTCCTCTCACTGCTCAGCCTTTTCCCATCCCTGGATGCAGCCTTTTTCCTGCACCTATGAAGGCAAAGCATCCGTGCTAGAGGTCGTGTGCTGTGCTGCCAGTTATTGATTGATTTTTCTTGCTGCTAGAGCTGGGCAATTTGAATTTGTGCTGCTGGACGTGTCTGGCTTTGCAGGGCAGAGGTGTGTGGTGCTTCATCAAAGTGGGGAGTCTGCAGAGCCAGCTCAGCATGGGGGAGTGCAGCAGCATTCTGCTTGTCCATTGGGATGTGGGTTGCCCAGCAGGATCCCACCATCAGCTCTGTCATCTCAGCTGCAGTCCACATGTAATGGTGCTACTCCTAAGGAGCATGGATCTCCTGTGCCTGGGCCTGGGGGCTCTGGGGCCTTTATAAACCCAGGGGACCATGGTGAAATCTCTGCCTTGACAGCCGGGGGACGTTCAGCTGCTGACCCCTGGGAAGGCGCAGAGGTGGGTGCAGTGCCCAGAGCCCCCCTGGAGAGCTGGGGTTAGTGCCTTTGAGTCGCTGCAGGTCTCAAAGCAGTGCTGGGGGAGCAGGGACCAGCGTGTGGTGCCTGACCTATTCAGCAGCGTGGAGCAGGAACGTGGCTGTCCCTGCAGGCAGCGGGTCCTGCTGTGGCTGTGCTCCCACAGAGGCTGCTCCTGCTCTTCCTGCCAGTGCTTATCCCAGCATAGCAGCAGAGGCTCTCCTCAGGGAAGCTGGAAGCTGTGAGTGCTGCTGGACCCCATCGCTGGGGCGCAGTGGCGCAATGCATGGTGTGCGTGACCAGTACCATCACCCTCCTTGCGGTCTGACTTTCATGCTGGTGTGTCTTCAGAGACAAAACGCTTTGATTCTACCTAAACTTATGACAGGTTCCTGTATACAGCTGGGAAGGGCAGCTCAGAGAAGCTTTCTTTGGCCCATTCTCCATTGTTCCCTCACTCCTGATGCAGGGCTGATGGTAGGGAAGTGGGACTCTGCCAGCAGTCCCGGCTCACACAGCTGTCTGGTCATCTGACAGTGCAGCCTGAAGGGAAACTAGGAGCCAAATGGCAGCTCAAGGACAAGGTGGGTGCATCCTGGAAGTGCCTGATGGAAGCTCCTGCTGCCTGAGCGGGCGGTGAACCTGGGCTGGCTGTGAACAGGAGCTGGCGTGCAGCCCACATGCCTGCCACAGCTCTCCCAGCGCTCCCTCATGGACTGTGCTGATTTTGATGGGCAAGAAACACAGCTCAAGGCTTATTATATTCCTAGAAAGAATGAAGCTTTGAAAGATCCCCCCTGAACCAAATCCAAACTGCAGAATGGTCACCTCTTGTCAGTGTTAATGCCACTGAGTGGCTGCTGGCAAGGACAAAAGGGACGGGCTTTGCAAGTTCAGCTCTTGGCCTTTTTGAGGCACCTTGGCTGATGTGCTAGCAGGAGGAGGAATGTTAAAGCTGAGCCTGGAACATTTTGCAGAGGCATTTCTGTTGGCAGGTTTATGATCTTTTCTGCCTCAGCTGGAAGCCAGCAGAACTGAATAAATCTCCAGGCCAACAAAAGCTCAGGATGTTTTCACAATTGCCAGGATTGTATTAATTTACAAGTGCATTAATGAATTTACTCCTTCCTAAGAACAGCTTTCATTTAGATGGGGAGTCCTACAGTGTGTTTGCGTGTGCACGGTAGGCAAGGCTACTAACACACTGCAAGGAAGTCACCTACCAAATAGCTGTGCCATTGATGCCAGTGAAGTGCAGATGTGAGAGGACAGATTTGGTGCTCTCATCTGCCAGGTCCTGCAGCTCTGCAGAAGGGATCTGCCTGCCCCGTGTCTGGGAGGACCCCCTCACTGGGGGCTGCTCCACACCACGCAGCTCGTGGGGCTCGGGGCTTGCACAGTCTGCAAGTTCCACCAACACTTAGTGCAAAAAGAGGCTCTAACTTCATCCCATAGGTGCACATGGTGTCTCCTGTGGATGGGAGACTGTTCAACCCCTCCAGGTAACAGTAATGGGAAATAGCTTCAAGTGATTAGAAACTTCAAACAGCTTAATTATTGCCAAAAAGAGAAAAGAAGAATTAAAATGGTTTCCGTGGGTACATTTTGAATACAATCAATAATTTATCAGACAATTTTCATTCAACAATGAGGAATTACGATGCTTCAGACCCTCCAAAATGTTATCGGCAAGGGAAATCGTTTCAGTTCTCTCTTTGTCTTCCCGTGGGTTGTGCCGGGGCAGGAGCCCCTGTGCAGCCCCGTCCCTGTGCCCCTGCTCTTGCTCTCTGGCGCCAGGAGCGTGGTGGCTGCTGCTGCAGCACCTTCAGCCCACCCATGTGCTGCTGGGCACCTCCTGGCCTGGGAAGGGGTCTGGAGGGGGTTGAGGGGTTCCCTCTGCCCACCCAGCCCCAGTCTCTAATCAACCCTTGGGGAATGCAGCAAAGCTGGACATGAAAGAGCATCCAGCTGGAGCTCATCGTCCACCCCATGAAAAAGCCTGCCTACCGTAAATAACAGAAGGGGCACGGGAGCTGCTGTGAGAAATCCTTCATCATCTGTGGAAACATGCTTGGTTTTACAGGAAAAACAAATACAGTGAGTCGAAAATAAATGGCATTATTAGCAGAAAGGGAGGCTCTAATTAACCAGATATAGTCCATTACTGTAGCCTTCAATTCATTAAATTGTATAATTACATAAAACCACTGTTGATGTGCTATTCAGTGTATCTGGTATTGTCTTCCTAATAATTAGCTCCATAATTGTCAGTTTGACAGGGTAATTAAAAATGTTTAAAGATGTTGTGTCAGCCTTTTCTCCTTTGCTGAGCTCAGTTGGATGTCTCTGGAAGATGATTTTCCACCTGACTCCACCGTGGTTTTGTTTTTGATTTATACCAGTGTGCTAGAGGAATGACCAGACTCATGGATTACTTTGATGTTCCTGCTAGGCTGATGTTTAAAAGTAGGAGAAAAATTACTCCTGATGTCATTTTCATTTACTTCCAGGAAATCTGTGGTCCCATCCCCTGGTCCATGCTGCTGGTGCTGTGACTTTCTTCTCAGCAGTTTTATGGACAGTGCGTTGTGAGATCTGACATTTGTAGCCCTTAAACTTGGTTCTGTTTGCTGTGTAAAACCTTTCACCCCACATGCATTTTTTATGGATGGATGGCAGCAGCAGGAATAGAGCCCATAGCTCCAAGGGGCCCCGTGCAGGACACAGGGTGATGGTGGTGAGGTGGATCTGTGTGCAATGGAGGGGTGCAGGCAGCCTGGGGAGCAGGACCTGAGCCTGGGTGTGCTGGGGAGCCCGGGAGCAATCGCCTATGAGCTGGAGACAGCCGGAGAGCGGCGCACCCGGTCCCTGTGCTGGGAACGTGCTGTAAAGGAGGCGGTTTATGGAGCCCTTCATGGCAATCACTCTTGGTTCTGTTGCTTGAGGGCACTGATTGCCACTTTGGATGGTCCAAACCCTGACTTGTTTCCCTTTTCAACAAAATAAACCCCGAATATTCATTGCCGAGAAGTGATAAATAAATCTGTCCTCACACCCAGGAGCTTCGCCAGCTGGGTTTTGGCTGGATGGGAGTCTGTTTGTGGAAGCTTTCAAGGGTTTTTGAAACTAATCTGTTTTGAATCATTAAACAAACAAAGTGATCTGGTCTTCTGGAATAAACAGTAATCACTTGGAAGTGAGATCTGAACTTCTTTCTTGGCAAAAGGATTTCCAGCACTTCTCCCTTTCTCCGTTTTCCATTTGTTTGTGTTTGTGTTTGTTCTTGGGCACTGTTTCTCACGCCACAGCTTTTCTCCCACAGCATGTCCGTGAAACTCACACACTTAGCCAAGTACTTACTGCATTCAGCTGAATGGGTCCCCTCCCCGCACTCCTTCCCCTTGTAGTCGGGAGCATGTCTTCGAGTCCAGATGGCCCCGTTCCACCACTCTGTAGCCATTAGTTTGCATTCAGTATTCATAATTGCTTTGCTAACTGAGAAACTTTACAATCTGTTGCAGGCCATTATATGCAAAACCATGCCCAAGTAATTGATCCCCTGCCATCCAAATTGCAGAAGTGCTCGAGCGTTTTGTAATCTTACAGAAAAGGTTTGTATTCTGAGTATTCCAAACCTGTGTTGGAATAAAACTGACAATGGGATAACAGGGCATGGTCTCCGCACGGCCATCACCCAGCGAGCAGGCACCGTACCTGCAGGTGGGCTCCTGCTGTGCACCTTCTCTTGCTGGTCCAGTTGACTCCTCTGATGTTCCCTGTTTGCCAGCCCCATCCCTCTGCTGCTGTGGATGCTCGCTGCTCGCTGCTTGCTGGCAGAGGGGCTAATGCTGGGGTGGGAGCAGGAGCTCTTCAGGCTGCTCGAGGGTGGTGGATGGTGAGGCGCGGTGGCAGCTCTACTGTCCTCAGCGCGCAGTGGGACAAGGCAGGGGCTGTGTGACCCTTCCCATGGCCA